ATGGAGGACAGCCGCCTCCCCAAGCGCATGCTGTTAGGAGCGATGGCGGGGGGCATGGGATACCGGGGCGGGCAGGAGAGCGACTGGGTGTCTCGTCTAGGCGATGGCCTTCAACAAGGGAGATGAAAAGGAAGGGGGGAAATGGAAAGAGAGCGCCAAGGACCCGGAGGTGTGGTACAACAAGGTCGAGGACGGGGCGGCATGGTTCATTAGGAAATGGCACAGGTAGGAGGCGGAAGCGTCCGCGAAAGGCCAGCGCGCGAGGGAAGCAGAAGCAAAGAGTACGACCATCTCAGGACCGAAGAGAAAGAGAGTCGGAGAAGCGGCGGTGGGGAAGAATAAACGGTGACCGGGCACTGCTGTAGAAGCGAGTAGGGCGGCCGAGGTAGCACTTGTGGCGAACTATGTACCCGGCTGATGTTGTTGCGCCCTGTTTCCCTCCCTGCTGTATGCTATACTCCTTTATGTATGTCCTTTGTATTGCCTTCGGCCTCTGTGCTGTTTCTATTTTTCATGACCTCCCTGCCTACTCTGCTGTGTTGGGTACCTTGATCTCGTTTTTGCTGTTGCTTTTGTTTTTGTACGTCTGGCTGTCTGCCCATCTGCCGCCTCTTTGTCCTGTTTGCTCCGTAAGTCCCATGCCCTGGTGCGTAGTGCCTGGTGCTGGTACGTTACCCTTGGATTTTTTCTTTGGGCGGGTGTGGGAAGGGTCCTCCTTTATTTTTGTTTTTGTTTTTATTTTGATCGGTTTCCGAGGGCTCTTTTCTCGAACGGTCGGTGCGATACCTGTTCTTTTCTTTCTATCATTTTGTTTTCTTTTTCCGAGTGGTTTGTACCCTATTTTTGTTTTTTTCCCCGCGGCGTCGTACGTGCCGGGTTTTGAGACCACGGGCGCTCCATTTTTTGTGGAATATAGAACTAATGTGAGAAACAACAACAACAACAACAACTGTACGCGTGGCTTCTGAACAGCGGAGGAGATGGGGGCTCTGCTGTACGGATGGGCCCCGCGCCGCGACCACTCCCAGCTGCCAACGTATACGCACCACCGGCTTCTGCTACGGGATTTGATTGGGCACCGCCGCACCCGCGGCAAATCTCGGCAGCTCTTCTGTGCCCAGACCATTCAAAAACGTCGGACCCCTCAGCGTGAAAACCACTGCTGTCGGGCTGCGGCGACTACTGCTCGCTGGAGCATTGGCCAGACGACTTGACGGACGACTCCATCAACCCCCTTATTGTTGTAGGTGGGGTGTTACGCTCTCACTCCTTCCGCACAATACACATGCATCTCTTGAGTCGACGTGTCAACTATGCTGCCTTCAACCCAATCTCAGGACCACCCACGCATGTATTTTGTGTGATGCGTGTGGGCATTTCTTGGCCGGGGTAACTCCGGCGAATTAACCCCTGTTCAGTATGGTAATACCCACGGACGGGGTCGTCTGTCTCGTCTTGGTTCGAGAGGAAGGCGTGTGCAGGTACAACTAGACTGAATGATTACTTTGGTGGGTACAAGTCCCAACCGCTGGTCCGCGCGACAACGAAAGGACTTGTCGTGCACATATATTTCCCAACTACATTAACGCAACATCTCGCGTAGAAAAGTATATATTCTTCCAGGTGCCTGCCCTGTTGGTAAGTAAGGTGAGGTGAAGAGTAGTCAACAAAATGAACATCGGCTTTCAGCACCCCGTCAACTTGGTATCCTCGTTAAGGCTCTGACTGCCGCAAGGGTTATGGCGAACGTTCGAACCTCTCCGGAGTGCTGGACAGGAGCGCATATTCTATAGTCATGAGTAAACAAGGACAGAGTGAATGGGAAGCTGATAACCCTTCGAGCGCTAAAAGTTGCTGACAAGCACAGCAGGAGGAAAGGCGGAGAGAGAACAGGTACCTGCCGTTACCTTTCCTCTGCGACCTCGGCGTGTGTGTGTCTTGTTATTAGCATCGACCGTGCAAACCGGTTGACCAATGAAAAGACGTCAGCGCCAGCGGGAAAAATCAAGTTACCTGGAAGGGGGCCGAATAGCGCTGAGTGCGGATGCCAAAATTGAATTTGTGCGTTTTTTGCGCCTTCGACACCTACAGCAGGACCGACGAGGGTGTATTGTTACAAATAGATACTTCACCCACTTTGCTAACCCGGTCGATTGGTCGAACCAACGGATGCAGAAGCACACGGGACAAAAACTCAGCATGAAAGTCGAAAATTATAACGGGATTTAAAGTCATAACGGGCACCGACAGCAGACAGTGTTGCTCTCATCGACCCTACGGCCTGAAGAGTGAAGGGCCTTGTATACAAATGAAGTATAAAAATACAATAAAGCATAGTTGGATTTGAATGCCCAAAACTTCGAAATTTGATTTCGAACGAGTATTGGTCCCGGGACTGAGGTGTATGTAGTATTTAGAAATTAGTATTTAGTGGGCTTCGCAGAGGTGCATACTAAGAGAGTGCTGAATTCTTCTCGTATTAAAAATCGAAGGCAAAGTACCGCAGGAGGGGAGGGTTGAGAGGGGCTCTTCTGTGTGACCACGGGTTGGAGTTAACGGCACTAGTGCCGTGAGCGCTGATTTGAAGTGAAGACAAAAAAAATATATACTACCGTGCAAGCGTGGCAGCAGCCGCCGCCGCCGCCTACAATTATGAATCTCCCCGCTACGAGCCATTCGCTCTTCGCTGCACTCCCCTAAGCAGAGCCAAAAGGCACAGGACGTGCTTTCTTCAAGTTTAATGTTATTTTCCTGAATGATGATGTTGTCTCAGTGCAGCCCACACGTCGCTGCCGCCTCACGTAACTGAATGAGCACCAGTTTCGCTTGTTTGATTCGGGCTTGGCGTTGGTCTATCCTGCTTACCGGTGCAGCTGCTTGAGATGGCCTGCACGAGCCCTCCCTCGCTGAGGCGGAGGGTCCTCTCGAAACCTTCGAGCCCACCAGAACCTCCAGACGGTATCCTCTTCCGCAGCAGTTCGCCAGTACTTGTTCACGCAACACACCTCGTATTTTTCGTGTGAAATATGCATACGCGAGTTAGTAATGCAGGCGTGCGCGTGTGTAGATGTGGAAAGTAATTTTACAGCAGCTTGAGTTTGGATTGAAACAGCAGGGCCAAATGACGTCTGTGAGCGTGGGGGGAGCCAGAGGGTGAACGGTAGTTGGAGGGAGGCGCATTGACAAGACACTCGCTCACCCTTCATCCTTTCTCCAACTTTACCCTTTCCTTGTCGTGCTCGGTTTAGGGCGTGAGCGGGCAGCGTGTGTCTACGACGCATGGTGGTCGACTGCAGCAGCAGCATTGGAGCACCAAAAGAAGCGGCAAAATTTCTTTGGGTCTATGGGTCTATGTCCCGCGATTGTTTGCCGAGAGCTCTGACGCGCTTGCTTGAATTGGATCGATCAGTGCTGAACGAGGATGAAAGATGGGGCGCTATCAAGACGCAGGGCTTTTTCCCTCCACTGCTCTCAGCAGGAGCACAAAAGGGGGAGGGCAACCAACGCCACAATCCTGACGTCTGCTTTCGTATCTCATGCAGCAGCACGAGTCCACCTTTCAAAAATTTCGTGGTTGGGTTGCACACCTTGCCGAGGTCGACCATGTTGAGTACCTCCATGGAGCGCGCGAGGAGCTCGCGCGGAAGGCCAGCTAACTGTCCCGTCGATCTCCTGGTTCCGGCTCGCATGTTGAGTACACTCCGGCGACAGCCTCCTACTACCCTCCAACGACGATGCCAACGAGCACCACACGGGAGGAAGACTGCACTTTGAGTGTTTGTCGTGTTGTACTTGCCGTGACGGAACGGGGGCTCCGTGAAACAATATGCCATATGACAGCGGGGTGAGGGCGTAGGCAAGAGATGACAGTGCCGCGCAGGGGGTTTGCCGTTTGCCGACTATAGTAGGTAGCTGCTGTGGACCTGCGGACCAAAATACTACAGGTCAACAAAACCAGAACAACGATGTTGGCTTGTTGCTGCCGCTAGCTGCTGCTGACCACCCCCAGACGGTACAGCAGGAGAGGAGCCTGGTGCTTACGCTATCGGTTCTCGTCCACGCTCAGGTAAAAACCAAAGTGTGAAGGTGGTACACCTTGTCATTAGCGAGAGCACGACATGTTCCGCGAATCGAAAATGTTTGATCGTTTGCCTTGCAGTGTGACGTGCCGCCCCGGCTTTTGGCCTCGGCTCTCTGATGTGATCAACCATCCCAGCTTTGTAGATGCGTGGCCAAGACTGAAGAGGCGAGTTTAACCTCGTCCTCGTGTGGCAACAGGAATTTTTCTACCGATGCACCCCTACCGCAGTGATGCAGCCGCCCGTTGCAGTCGTGTTGGTGTGACTAAAATAACAGACGCCCAGGTACCCAAGTCTCTGGTTCGTCCATGCGAAAGTGCTTCGGTAAACGGTGCTAGAATTGCAGCAGCTCCTTGCATGTGGTAGACGTGTTGTGCCATTTGCAACATTAGATACGAAGAGATTCACCGGCATGCTCAAACGACAGGCTGTCATTCCAGGCAGACTGCTGTTGACCGCAGTACTACAGATGTGGTTCATGGATGTGCACATGTGCATATCGCGATTCAATTTCTGATGCGGAATATCGTTATCCCTCCACAAAGCGCCAACGTGAACTTCACCCACTAGTCTACACAAGAGCCGCCCGCCGCTTCCTGAACAGCAGCAGTGCACCGGCTCCACTGCACGGCGGCACAGGCACAAGAAGGCCATGCACACCGAGGGCGAATTGGAGGTCTAGATGAGCTTCTCGACCGCCAGAGCCGAGAGAGGAGAGAAGCCGCACGGCCTGCCGAGAGCCCCGTCTGGTAAATAGCGCAAAAGTCGTCTTCGGGGATGAACCGTTCGAACACACAGCAGCAGCAGCAGGGCGATGGGACCAGAGAGGCAAACAACAACATGAAGAACGAGGCTGTTTACGACTTTTATGGGAAGCACCTGGTGTACCCCAAGAGCTCGCTGTACCTCTTCAGCGAGAAGAGCCGAGTGCGGGTGGCATTTGTCAAGCTTGTCGCGCACCCCTGGTTCGATCGCTTCATCCTGCTCGTGATTGCCTTGAACTCCATCGTGCTTGCCCTGACGGACTGGACTCGAATCGACGAGGATCCTAGCTCGGAGCATGTCGGCGAGCCGATTGCGGAAGGGTCGTGGAGAAACACGCTGCTGTACGAGACCGAGAGCATGTTCACGGCAATTTTTACCCTGGAGTTCGTGCTGAAGGTAGTTTCTCAGGGCTTTATTTTCGGCCACGGAGCGTACCTGAGAGACGCTTGGAATGTGCTCGACTTCGTGGTGGTGGTCACTGCGGTCCTGACGAGCATTCCCGGAATGCCGACGGCGACGGCGATTCGCGTTTTCCGGGTGCTGAGGCCGCTCCGGAGCCTTTCCACACTTCCCGGCCTGCAGCATCTAGTGGTCAGCATGCTCAAGTCTGTTCCTCAGCTGGTGAGCGTCCTCATTCTCTTGCAGTTCATCTTCGTCGTGTTCGGCATCCTCGGCATCCAACTCTTCGCTGGCAAGCAGCACTCTCGGTGTCGCCTCACACCGTACCCGGTCACCACGGCCTTCGAGGTGAGTCGCACACTCCTGCACGCCTATGTCGGGCTATTGGTATGCATATATATTTTTTTGGATGTGGAAGAGATTCCCAATCCACTCTGTGTATCTGTTCTATCGTTGTCGGTCTGCCGGCCTGTCAGTCTGCCTGCTTGCCTGCTGCTGTCTGTCTTCGTGTCTGTCTGTCGGTCTGTCTGTCTGTCTGACTGTCAGTCGGCCTGCATGCCTGCCCTTCTTCCTGTCTGTCTCCCTCCCTTTCGCGAAGAATATATGCATACGAATCTTCAGAGTTTGAGGACAAAAGCCTCTTAGCAGGGGTGTACTCATAGTCGTGCATGCCGTAGTCGTTAGACCATTGACCTCGCATCCCTACAAAGCCGGGACGGAGCACGCCGGGTTCTCACCGGACCAGGCTCTCACATCACCAAGCGCGAAGCGCCGTGAGATATTCGGCGAGTCGCATGAAGGGTGCGCTGGCTGCATCCTGCTAAGGGTGTTCGGCATGTTGTGCTTACTTCCTTGCGAACGGATGACAGCCGCGTATGACTTAGTTTACTTTCTGGTGCTTTCACTTCCAGAGACAGTTGTAAGCACTGTGNCCTTGCGCGGAGTGAGGATTTTTCACCCCGCACAACATGATCTACTCGACCACCACTATGGCTACGGCCAAAAAACAGAGGAAAAAAAAACAAACGGTAACCTGGTTGCCGAGTTCACGAAGTGCATTGACTTGTTTTACAACGTCGTTGCCAAGCGACGAAAACCCAACCCCGATGGCAAACACGGGAGGTCTAAGAGGGGACGTCCAACATGTGCGGTCAATGGTTGTTTCCTAATTTTATGTATGCGTGTGTGGAGAGGGCTTGGGTGCCTGTGGTGTTGTATTTGTTATTCTCTTCACAAAAGCCGTCCCGATCTCTGCTCAGTGCTCAGTACCTTTAACATCTGTAGTACCGGTCCAACTGACGGGGACGCCTTCCGCGGTCACAGGCTAACTGGCCGAAGGGTACACATGACAGGGTTACCCTGCTGGTCAGAAACACTTCGGGGGGTACCTACTATTTGACAGCGTCAAAACGAGCCCAGTTGATTTGTAATGTCCACCTTCACCTTTCCGTGTCCCAAATAGCCCGGGGTGTACGCTGCCACGGCTACAGTACTGTCATCCAGAAGTGTACCCTGTTATCGGAAATGCATTTTGTTTTGACGGGAAGTGGGATCCTTCCGTTGCCCACTTCCTCCACAGTTTTTTAGACTTCCGATGCAAGCTTAGGATGCCAACCATGAACCCTTCCAGCTCGAAACAGTGGCTAGGGTACAGCACAATTACATCTCCGAAAAGCAACCGACACGCTGTAAAAAAGTGCGAGATACGAGTCACATTCAGCACGCGCCCGTTCGATCTAGCATGGTTGAAAGCGGATGGTAGTCACGTCTACTCAGAAGAGATTTATTGGTGGATATGTTCATGTGTTACCCACAGGCGCGACCTTGCTGTGCGCTGCCCGGAGAATCGTAGAAACATATCTGGGCCCAGAAGTCGACGCAGATTTTCTCAAGTACGCAAACATACTGGATAAAGCATACAATCGGCTAAGTTGGGGCTTACCGTTACGGATGGGGTCTGCGTGCCCCCTCCCTGCTCTCTCTTCGTACTAAACTTGCTGTTCTTGCGCCGCTTCCGCCATGGATTCGTCGCTAATGTATGCTGGATTCCATTCGTGGATGAGAGATAGAAAATAGAGGAGATGTGTACGTGCGGTTGTGCGGCGGCGAGCTCGTGGTGGTGACGGAGGGGGGAAAGGACACACACACACATTACGCCGAGCGACTCATCATGGAAGGAACGTGTACTTTTGTTTTTTTCTCCCATCATTGGACTTTGTCGTCTGCCCCTCTGGCCCCTATCCTCCACTTCTACCAGCTAGACGACCCAACCGGGGTCACATACGAGGGGGGGATTGGACCCCCTCCTGCGGTTCCCGCCTGAGATATTATTATCGCGAGAAGGGTACAGCAATCCCTTCCCTCGCGACTTATGAAGTCGATCAAGTTTACTAACAACGAGCTTTGCAGCGCGTCGCTTCCAACGGAGACCGGGATTAATTAGCGAGAAAAAACTGTGTACTGTAGCGGCGCAGAAACCACCCACCTAGGTCATCCCACGCCAACATCTATGATGTGTCGACTGTATACTTGTCACGCCCGGTACATCCCGAATATCATCAGTGTTGGGTTCAAAAGGCAACTCATGAAGCGCCCGCTCCTCCAACACCTAACTGTGTCTTGTCGAGCCTGTCACCCATAGGGGAGATATGCTGCTCGGGGAACCGTAGAAATATAAGTTGGTCACCCTACCACGGACTCTTTTCTGTGCAAGAGATGGATTTTTTGTGTTTGTTGAAGGGAAAATATATGTATGTATATATGTACCGTGTTGCAGCGCGTTCAACCTCTGTTGTTGTGGGTTGTACAATATGGGTACGTCACTCCTTCCATGATGATTTCGCTTAGCGTGTGTGTATGGTGTCCTTCCGCCCCTCCGCCGCCACGAGCACGAGGCCACACATCCGCACACATTTCTCTTTGAGACGACGTGTCACCCATGCTGCTTTCGGCCGTCCTTGCTGGGTCGGTCGCGTTCTGAGCGTGACTCGTGTATCTGGTGTGATGCCCCACACCATACACATACGCATGCTGCCAGCAGTTGCTACAATTGTTTGGGGTGTCGGCGCGTGTACTATGTTATCACGTTCGCGGGCTCTTGTCGAGAGCGTCTTGCACAACGGAGTGACTCAAGTTCTTTGATTGTTAGCGAGTGACAGATGTGAGCAAGAAGAAGCAAACCCTGCTGCACCAAGTCTGTCTATCATACCCATATCTATATCATCTGCGTAACCCCCTCGGAGATCTCGGAGACTTGTATCCTGCCGAGTACACACACAAGCAACAGTTTAGGACGCACATAATATTTGGTGCTGTTGCGAAGTTTCCGAAATGCACAGTTTCGGACTGGGGATCCAACCTTGTCCATTTATGGGAAACAAATTTGAGACAAGAAATTTCCATCGAAACTTCGTGCAAGGCAAATATGTTCAGATTTAAGAGGCTTCATGTGATTGGCTGTGGGGCAACAGTCCTCCTGTCCCACCCAACTGCCAACGAACTTCTGCAGGTCCGCAGGTACTGCTATATTTTTGTGATGCGCTGCGTGACAGCTGCACCCTGATGACACGCGCTCCCTCTGCTGTTGAGTTTGCGTGCATGCATGCGTGTGCGTGTCTGTGTAGCTCCCTCAGCTCCAGCACACGTAATCGCACCAGTACGGAGACAGGAAGTAATTATACTGGCCGGCAGCCTCTGTTAACGAAGTGCTATATGTATGTGTGGCATTTCAAGCGTTCGGGACAACAGGGGTTTTCGGGACGGGAGCACATCCAAGTCAAACAAACGCTCGAACAGAACCAGAGAATACTTTTGCGCGGGGAAGGACGCGCCCGTCTTTGCCAGGAGGCCACTGCGTGCTCCCCCTCCTCTCTGCTCTTCTTTGCTCGCGGTGCTACCACCACCTCTCTACGTCGTCGGTCGTCGTTGTCTCCGCGGTTCCGACGCTCTTCTTCCCCCTTCCCTCAACCTGAGTGTGACGGACGCGTGTTGCTGACCTAAAGCCGCGCAAACAAACCCAACTTGGCTTTATGACCGTGCAGCCTCCCTCTTTGTGTTAATGGAGCGCCAACTCCAGGCCCTTTTCTGTGGGCGCTGGCCTTCTTTTTGGCCGCGCGGCTGCTGTGTGTGCGTGTGGGTGGTGCCTGATGTTTTACTTCGAAGAAAGTTGCTAAATACCACCGGAGGGTACATAGAGCACCCTCAGCATGTGATCGACCCGGTGCCGCAATTCGCAAGGTAGAGCAGAAAACGCACACCGGGGAGCCGATGCTAACGTACTGCCTCTGTGCTTGATGTTCTTGTGATTGCGGTGCGTGTGGTTCCAGTGTGTGTGTGTTTTCGTCCTATTTATTATGGCGACAGTCCCCCCCTTTTTCCGTGGTGCGACGTGTGCTACACTTTTCAGTGTATTTTTTCGTACAACTACAGCCATCCAGGGTCACACAGGAGGGGGTAAACACCAGGGCTTTTTACTTCTTTTTATTTCTGCCCCACCTTCCTCCTGCGGTGCTTGCTGAATTCTATTTTTCGAGCGAGACGGGTCCAGCCGTCCCTTTCCCTCGTCAACGGTGCTAACGTCGAAATTTGGTACTCACGAGAGAGCTTGTCAGCTATATGTCGCTTTCACCCGCACATTTCGTAAATTTTTCACCCCATTGGGATTCGAACTCACGACCTCCGCGACTAGCGGAATACAAGGATACCGCTAGACCACCGGAGCGACCGGGGCCAGTATTGGGAATGAAAGGAGGTTCGTCTGTAGTGTGCATCTTCTCGCTCAAGGGCGAGGGTTTTAACGACTAAGTAGTGGATGATGGTCTCGATTTGTTGAGTGGGCCATTTCTGTTTGCATCGATCCGCTTCTGCAAGGCGGTTTCTCGTCAGCGTCTTCGCATCTAGCGCTGCTAGCATATGCGCGTTTTGCCGAAGGGTGAGGCGGAAAAGATGTGCCAACAGGTACTGCTTGCACAGGTACATCCTCTGTTCGGATGGTTGCTGTCGCACAGGCATGCACGCCTGCTCAGAAACTACTGCTGTTTTTTTTTTTTCTCTGCTACTGCTGCACAGCAGCAGTACTACTGTACTCCTGTTCGACACCCTTACATATACCCGCGTCCTTATCCCTGTGAGCCCCACACGTGGACTCACTGCTGCACCATCCTTACCGCCGTGTGTTGTGGGTGTACCCGCATGCATGTAAAAAAATCAAATCAAATTAACCCAAGGTCACGCACGGGTTAAGCCAGCGGTCACAGCTCACAGCATTTGTGCCGGGTACTACTTCTGTAGGGGCTTCAATCCGTGGTCACACGGAACGTTTCCTCTCCCGACACCCCTCTTGCAATGCTTGCCCTCGAGTTTGAACTCTAGAAGTGCAGCAATCGTTGCCCTCAAAGTGTACACACGAGCTGAATAGTGCTTTCCACTGACCACGAGAATCGACCTCGTTAAGTGTTGGACAAGTACGGACAGAAAAAGGTACTGGGCAGAGAGAACGGAACGGTTTTTAATTTGAACACAAAAACAACAACTACTACTACCAGGACCGGAAGCGAGAGCAAAACCTCACTTTGCATGAAAAAAGGAAAAGCTCGCTCACGCCGGGATTCGAACCCTTATCCTGACCACTAGAAGGTTGCGAGGATGCCAACTACTGCAGACTGAGTGCACTGAGTGCGTGTACTTCCCGGGGGCCTGTTTGTCCAGACTGGTTACCGCACATACTCGGGGTAGGGAATATGCCTGAGCCGTCACTACTCCTGGCAACGCGAAAGCGACCAGCACCTCTGTTCACATCAACGGACTAGTGCCTGGTGTGTTGGTTGAACAGCGGTGCGTGGAGAACGTTGATGTGAACATGGGTGCTGGTCGCTTTCGCGTTGCCAGGAGTAATGCACTAGTGCCTGCTGTGTTGGTTGAACAGCGGCGCGTGGAGAACGTTGATGTGAACAGGTGTGCTGGTCGCTTTCGTGTCGCCAGAAGTAATGACGACTCAGGCATGTTCACTACCCGAGTGTGTGCGGTAACCAGTCTGGACAAATAGGTCCCCCCACAGAGGGAAGTACACCCATGCCGGGGCGACTAGCGCTTAAAATAGTCGTGTGTGGGTATGTTGGTTTTGTAGGACATGCGCCCGCGTGTTGTCGAACCTCAAATGCACACCAATTCGTGGCTTTCGGTCGGATGAGGCTCGTTTCAGAATCTCACATGCGAAGACAGACACCACATGCCTACAACACAAGGCCTGGTCGCGTTTCGTGGGTGCTTCTCAAGATGGTCACCTCTCCGTGTGGTGTGGACACGTCACAACAGCAATCCGGCAATTCGCAAACGGCAGACCTTTTGGTTCTTGCGCTGTTCGTGAGACGTGCCAATTTGCAATCGCTAGTGGCCCTTTGTTCGTTTGTCTGTTGGTCATTTTGGCGGTCTTTTTGGTTCTTTGTTCCTTTTTATGTTTTTTCCTTTTCCAGATGTCCTTATCTTGTCTCTATGCAGGTATGCTGCTGGGAGACCGGGAGTACTCCGGTAGCACGGAGCCATGACGATTTCCTCTCCTCGTTTCATGTCTGCCATTTATGTTTTCGGTGGGGAGGGCTAGATTGCTTGCCATCTCGGCTTGACCGGCCCAATCCCTGCACGCAATACCCCGCCGGCAGTAGTTTCGCCTCACATGGCGTGTAGAGGAGAGCGGAGGCCTCCAGACTATCTGTTTTTGATTCCTGTTGCCTTGCAAACCCTTCGGGTCCGTCTTTTTTAGGCACACTTTTTTAGGTTAAGTTAGCCTGTGACCGCAGGAATCGACCGCGTCAAGTAATAGATCAGTACGGACAGATAAAAGGTACTGGGTAGAGATATCAGGACGATTTTTTATGGGAAGAGACTACAACAACAACATTTGTTTCCATTTCTGCAGGTCAACCGTTAAGACACACAGGGCCATTTGAATTCGGAATAGGGCACATCCGACTATTTTATTCTTGTACTCAACGATGAATCGGGACATCAGAAAACTGGCGGGAGCGCGGAAACGGTGCACGAAAAAGAGGCTTTCAAGGTATTCCTCTAGAAAGCGAGACCTTCTAAACACAAGCTCAAGGTTGCCCGGTGCCTCCTTTCATCGGTGGGCGAGGGGCCTCTTACTCATTTGTCCCTAGTTGCGCTTCCCACCGAAGCACAAAAATGTGCGGCGCAGCTGCGCTGTTGAACCTACGGTATTGTCACGTCCCGCGATTCTTCCAGCAATACCCCCTTTCTACGCCCCCTTGCAAAGCACCCACACTAGACTATAGTTTTCCGCGCGTCCCCCGGCACCCCCCTCTGTCGAGGAGTTCAAAGGTGGAGACAGCCATGCCATTCTTCGTGAGCTAGCACAGGTGAAGGAGATGGAGCCAAAAAATGGCCCCGAATCAAACTAGGGGTTGCGTCGAGACAAGAAAAATTCAAAACACTCTCCAAAATCCGGTTTTCTTATATACCGCTTTAAGAAAGCATTCTCATACCTCAGCTTGGTTGTTGAAATAATCCTCTTAATCTATAGCCAAACGAGTTAAGGCGCGATCGATGCCTTTGCCAACACTGCCGCCAGAGCTCCTGGAAGACATGAACGTTCAGTAAGTAACCCTACAGCTGCGCCAGCGCCTCGTGCTGGCTCGGCAAAGCGACGTATTGAACACCAACAGCCAACCACGAAGTGTATCGTGAGGGCGGCATATGTATAGCGCAGATGGACCTAGTCTCAGATTCCGATGAAGAGGTTGACCAATCCGAACAAGGCGAAACGAGCGAGTCCCGGGGAGGCAAGTCGTGCGTCCGCCACCGAACCCGAGAGTACTGTAGCGGAACACTTTCGTCCGCTCGACGATATTGCCGAGAATTGCGCAGGCACAACATTGACTACCATCTTTCGTAAGGCCGAGCAAGCTTGGATGAGCGACTACGAGTGCTAACACCCCCCCTAGTTATCACACTCCTTCGGCCCCAGCAAGCGTGCGACACCCCCTGGCTGTCACACCTCCTTCATGACTCCCGCGACCTACCACTTTGTCACCCGGGTACAGAAGGTAACTCCCCCCCACAGAATACAGCACCCGGTGATATTTGTTTAAGAAGTCGAAATACCGAGCACTCCTACACGCACAGCGCTTGAAAAGGCGCTGGTGGACAAAGGTGCTGTAATATGAAAATGCTTCCGTTGGCAGACACAACAGCCAAAGGGCTGCCTGTACGCGTCCTGCGCCCACAGCACTAGCGCGAGCTTCCTTTCCCTCACCTCCCATCAACCCTTCGCGGTGAAAAAGGGGAGCAGGACATCTTTCTCCAACTGCATAGGCCACTGCTCTCTGTCGTTTCCCTATCTTTTATACCTGGTTTGGTTTCCGTAACTGACGCACCGAGAGAAAGCATTGCCTGGTGCATTGCCTGGTGTATGCGTACGATGTCCATCAGATCGTCTCGGAGGAAGCATTCCGAGCCCTATTTATCATCGACTAGCCACGCTGGCCTTTCGGCCCGCATGCTTCATGCGAACATCGCCCCGCGCACGCACGCGCGCACGTGAAACTCACAAAACGACAGACGGGGATGGACTACGCGGACCACCGGTGCCTCGAGGCCAGCAACTTCGACGTCGTGGACGAAGACAACTCCTGGACCCAGAGCAGCAGCCCCTGGTCCACGCCGCAGGACTGCTGGTGGCCGCTGGACACCGACGACACCCGGCTGTGCGCCTTCGACGACTCGCCGGGCAACCACCAGTGCGAGCACGACCCTGCATACCTCAACGAGAGCGACTTCCGGTGGTGCGGGAGCGACTACGACGCGCTCGGCAACCGGCGCTTCGAGGGCGGGGTGACGCTCGAGGGGTCGCCGTGGGGGGGCTGGAACCTGACGGACAACGCCACGTTTGTGGAGGACCTGGCCTGGGGCTACACGACCTTCGACAACATCTTCGTCGCCTTCCTGACGATCTTCCAGAGCATCACGCTCGAGGGGTGGTCCGACATCCTGTACCAGGTGGTCGTGGACTGTGTGTGTGTGTGTGTATTGTTTTTTGTCTTGTTCCAAGGGCATTGTCGTCGCCGTCGGTGCTTGGTGTTGCTGGTGTTGCTACTGCTGACACGACGACGTGCGTGGTCTCTCGGCGGTTGCGGCGCTTTTTTTCGTTGGCAGGTTAAGGATTGCAGCCGGCCCGTTCTCGCAGACCTGTTTTTCATCGTCCTCGTGCTGTGGGGGGCCTTCTTCACCCTCAACCTTCTGCTGGCGGTCCTGGAGAATAACTTCAGCCAGGGCGGGGAAGAAGACGAGGTGCGTTGTCGGTGTTTCGGTCACCATCAGGCAACAACCAACGATTGCGGGGATGCGGAGAGATCTCACGTGCGAAACGGCGCCGCGGTTTTGCGTGTGTTTTCCGTGTGACTTTTTACCCACAGGCAGCAGCAGCGGCAGCAGGATTTACAACTCTCGAGGTGTTGGTTGGTGCCGTTCATTTTTCTGTTCCTTCTCGCTTTCGCCAAGAGACCAAGCTGAGGTGTCAAGGCTCAGCTTTTGCCCCGTTTTTTTCGAGCGCGTGTCTCTTCCACGTGCCTTTCTCTGCAGCCCGGCATGCCTTTGTCCCAGAGGTGTGGACTGAAAATCGCGGGCGACATGGCGCTCGTGGACCCCCGCGCCTTTGGGAACGATATCCATCGAGCAGCGCCGCAGTTAAAGGGGTCTCACCTAACTTGTGTAGGCCCCATCGGTCCTGCGCTGTAATATAGGATATCGAACGACTAGGAGTGAGAGGCGATAGGTAGCAAGCGGGTTCGTGGGATCACAATCATTTGCAAGGCGTGCCATCTTGCTCCATGGCAGACTTGTAGCCCCCCCCCCCCCCCCCCCCCCCCCCCCCCCCCCCCCCCCCCCCCCCCCCCCCCCCCCCCCCCCCCCCCNCCCAATGTCACCGGTCTAACCGCTGAGACGTGCAAATCATGATTATGCTCCCCTCCTCCTCCTCCACGGGCCCGGTAGGAAAGAAACCCGGTGATATCCGTGCCGGCTTTTTTTTACCAGTGAGTGGGGCTGGTGTGAGTTACCGCGGCCTTGGCGCCGGAACGAGATTCCTCCTTCCTCCCCGAGAAGTACTGTTTAGTACTCCTGTGTGCTGTGGGCGTTCCCCCGCGGGGAGTGGCTGGAAGAGTAAAGCGACGGGCGTGAGGGACAGCAACGCCTGGTTGGTCGAGGCGAGCTCTCATCGTTGGTGCTGGCCGCGCTTGCGGCTCATCTCGTCCTCGGACTGAAAAAGGGAACTCTCATGTTTTTTCCCGCCATCCATCGCCGTTCGGAATGCGCAAAACGCGAGGCGTTGGTTTGGTATGTGTGCGTCTTGTTTGTTGGCGAGTACGCAAGCAGCAACATTTGCAGAAGCGACCAGCTTCTGTTTTTCAGGAATCCAGCGTTATTTTCTTTTTCCTTTTTCACCAATCCAAATGGATCGGCAGGCGAGGCAGGCGGCGGCGGCGGAGCAGCGGCAACAGGAGCAACAGGCGGACAGCAGCATCGACGACGTGCTGGGCGTATCCGTGGAGGAAAAGGCGATTGCTGCCGAACGAGAGGTTGAAGATGGAGAGGCTGGGGTAAAAGCTGCTGCTGCTGCCGCTGCTGATGGCCTGGCAGCGACGGAGGAAGGAAGGAGGACCGGGGGCGGGGAGGGGGCGGCGTGGGGGTTGGGGGTGGAAGGAGGGACAAGAGAGGAGTTACTCTCCGACAGATGTCACAGCATCAGTAGCAGCGGTAGCGGTGGTAGCGAGACTGAGGGCTACCGTGACTGGCGCGTGATATTGTGGCGTCTGACCGCTAGCGACGCGTTTCTGCGCTCGATAACGACCCTGATCATCCTCAACACGCTGACGTTGGCCTTGGATCACCACCCCATGGACGATGACTTCTCCACGGTGCTCGACTTGTTGAACTTGGTCTTCACGCTGTGCTTCGCGTTGGAGATGGCTTTGAAGGTATCGCACTACAGCAGCGCACTCACTTCTGCTTTCGCTCGTGCTGTCGTAGAGTACCCAGATACGTCGTAAGCAGATGCCACCGTTTCTGACCGGTATTGTTTAAGAAACGTTCCGGGTTGTTGTTGTTGTTGCCGTCGGCCGGTCCCTGTTCCTCTCTCCTATCCGCCCGACCAGTTTTCGGAAATCCGTTTGTTGCCAACAGCTCTTGCGGGTTTTCTCCGACCGCAAGAAATGCTCAAAAAGCACAAATTGTTGGAACAAATGAGAATCTTCCGAAGACAGCTTACAAGATAAGCTTGCAGTGGTGACGGGGAGTGTAGGAAGGGTGTGAGGGTGTGATGATGTGTGTGTGTGGGTGTGGGTGTATCGTTCTCGGAGATCGTTTCATGCGATTCTCAGCTGCCCTGTGCGTTTTCTCTCTCACCCCCCCCCCGGCCAAGCTCGTGTTCCGTCTTCAGCCTGGGTCGGTAGGCGTTTTCCTTCACTGTGCACGCGGGTGGTTTCTAATCGGGGGCCGGAAAAACGAATGGCAAATCCCAGGCTACGGATAGAAATCTGTAGGGATGTCCCAACTACCCTCGATGGCACATCAAGCCTTGCATCAAGTATTAAGTTGCATCGGGTATCCGTGGTGAGGGGTGGAGCATCGCGTCTCTTCAAATTTATTGTTGTCCACAACCGCCCGTCGTTGGAAACCTGCACTGTTTTCTTCTCGTAAAAAGAAGCTGCCAAGCAGCGTTTCGCCTCCTCTCTCTCCACATGCACGTGCGCACTACACGTTGCCGTTTCTCCCTGTGTACACGCGGCTGAGTCTGCTCTTCGCGCTGCTCTGTCATCGACCCACCGCCGTTTACTTTGGGGGGGGGCAACGACGTGCCTCCCTGACTGTCCTCTTCTAGCTGGTGGCACTGGGGCCGCGGGGATATGCGAAGGACAAGTTCAACCTATTCGACGGGCTGGTTGTCTTGAGCAGCCTGGTGGAGCTTGCCATCTGGCCGCCCAACATCTTGACAGGGGGGGAAGGAGAGGACTGGGGCGGGGGGCTGTCGGCACTGAGATCGTTCCGCGTGCTCCGCATCTTGAAGCTCGCCAGGTAGGGGGGGGGCGGCTTGGTTAGGATGGGTTGGGGGGGACTAGAGGAGGAAGCCCCCGTGAATGCTACATGCCTTCTGTTGCCAGAGTTAAAGGCCTGCTGAAGTCGAAATGCTGAGCTTGAGAAACAACCTTCCCAGGTTGGTGTCACGGTGGGAGGGTGTTGTGATCCACAGGGGGGGTTGTCATGAAATCAACCCTAAGAACTTATAGACTGGCCAGTACATATACGCGGGACTAAGCCAATAAAGGTGAATTTACCGGTGTTTTCTTCGTTTGCAGACGCAGACGTGGAGCCTGCTCACTCAACTGACGCGGTTTTCTAAAGGAGCAGTTATTGACATGTACTTCTCAACGAACGCGATGTAGTGTCGTGAGATTCTGATCCTCCCGCAACCAACGCGCCTTTTTGTGGCCTCACGCCGCTCATCTCGAGACCGAAATGAACGACACACGCGTCGCACATGGGTTTCCGGCCTCCTCAACGCCCCCGTCCGTCGGTCGGTCAGGGGGGGGCCGCGGAACAAGTACCATGCGAGCGTTTCTTTCTTTCTAGGCGGAGACCTTATTTTAACCCTCCACCATGTAGCGCCGTTGATGCAAAATCGAAACGACAAGCAAATACCCACAAACGCCCACGTGCAAACACTCACACGCACACACACCTACAGGGGGTGGAGCTCAATGCGCGATCTGCTGGAAACGTTGCGGAAGACGCTCCTCGACATCGGCAACTTCGCGCTGCTGCTCCTGCTGTTCATGTTCATCTACGTGCTCATCGGCGTGCAGTTCTTCGCAAACCGCCTCCACTTCGCGGAGGACGGCAGGGTCATCGGGATAGGGGAGGAAGGGTACTACGACGCCAAGGTCCCGCGGTCGAACTTCGACACGCTACTCCACGCGTTCACGACGGTCTTCGAGGTGAGCGGTTTTCGTGTTTTGTTTGATCGGTCCGAGGGTGTGTGTGTGTGAGAAGATTCACGCCACCCCTATTTCTGATGATTCAAGGGTGCAGCCGCTGGACCGCCGCCTGCCGACCATGCATGACCGCATGTCGGTCGAGGCACAGTGCACCCACCACCTTGGATTCCTGACGTTGCACTTCGTACTCAGTTGAGAGTCCGTTGTTTCGGGTGTCCCCTGTTTAAAAGGTTTCGGTAGGGGAGGGGGTGTACTCAATATCGTGCTGCCGTACTCGAAGGTTGCGGTGGGGGTGTGACGAATAGTTGTTGTTAACCGTGTACTTCAGCGAGGCGTCATGGGCAGTAAGTACCACGGTCTTCTTTTTGCCTCTCACAAGAGGTGCTGACGACTCCCACTCCGAGGAACGTGGCTACCCCCTCCCGCCGGGCGCGCCCCGATTGCCGCTGCCGCGTCCACCATACCGCGACCTAAGACATGTGACGTTGTCAGGAGACTGGATTGCTTGCGCTTTTTCACGAAAGCTCTTTCCTCGAAAACATAACCACGGAAAAGCCGTGAAACAACTACAAATATGCAGGTCCTCTCTGGCGAGAATTGGAACGCCACCATGTACAGCGCGAGGCGCGCCGTCGGCTGGGTGAGCGTGATCTACTTCGTGAGCCTCATCGTCGTGGGGATGATGATCGTCATGAGCCTCTTCTTGGCCATCCTCCTCAGCCACTTCGCGACGCCTGAACAGGACGAAGCGGTCGCCGAGGACAGGGAGCGCCGGCAGGAGAAAGAGAAGCTGGAGCGGCAGCAGCAGCAGCAGCAGCAGAGTTTGACGGGGGCTACACCGGCGAAGCACGAGGAGGGTAAGAACGGGGTAGGGATGAAGGGGGAGGAGGAGGAGGAGGAGGAGGAGGAGGACGTGGCGGCAAGGAAAGAGGGAGCGGAAAGGAACGGCGCTGACGGCGGCAACAAAGGGCCTCGGACACAAGGCTGGTACACCTCTGAGCTGGACGAGTCCTTCCGCGGTGCCAACTCCTTTTTTGACAGTGACAGCCCGGGTACCGCCGCTCAGCGTGCTCTCTGGCGGGCCCACAGAGCTGCGTCGACGGCGCCCTTTGGCTCTGTGGGAACAAGGGGGGTTCCGCACGCCACCGGAGAAATAGAGGAGGAGAGGGAGGAGGAGGAGGAGCACGCACATCAACACCACCTCACGAACAGCAACAACAACAGCGACGCAGAGGTAGCAGGGAGCTGGGACACCAACGAGAGCCCCGACAACGGTAGCGACGAAGTCGACGCGGACGCCAATAGCGGCGACCCGGGCTCGGAGAGGAAGGAGAACGCCGGGTGCTTCTCCCTGAGCCGCCTGGGCGCGAGCGTCGCCGGGTACGCGGCCGGCGCCGTCCGCAGCGTCAAGGTGCCCGAGAACATCTACCCGGGGTTCGCCCTGTGCTGCCTCTCTGCGAAGAACCCGTGGAGGAGGGGCTGCGCCGCGGTCGTCAGCAACGCGGGCTTCTCCCGCCTCGTGACCCTCCTGATCGTGCTGAGCTCGCTCACTTTGGCGCTGGACTCCCCGCTCCGGGACCCCGACTCGACGGCAGCGGAGGCCCTCGGGACCCTCGAGCTCGCGCTGACGTTCCTGTTCGTCCTCGAGGGCGTGCTCAAAGTCTGCGCCTCCGGATTCTACTTCATGCCTCTGGCGTACTTGCGGGACGCGTGGAACGTACTGGACTTCGGGGTGGTGATGGTCTCGGTCGTCCAGCTGTTTCTCGTCCGCGGGGCCGGCTTGTCCGGCCTTCGGTCTCTTCGCGCGCTGAGAGCCCTCCGTCCTCTGAGGTGTGCTGGGGATGGTTGCTTAACACGAGTTGCGTTAACGTGGGTTTCTTGCGGCGTTTTTTATTTCGTGCGAGTCTTGGGGAATTCGGTTCAGAGCTTTCTCGAAAAGACACGTCAGTTTGGTTCCATTAGAGAGAGAGAGAGAGAGAGAGAGAGAGAGAGAGAGAGAGAGAGAGAGAGAGAGAG